ACATATAACACATACTAGCTACCCGAGGCTATAATTGTGGACCCTTTGGTCGTAACTCTGTGGACCCTCTGGTCCTAACTCTGTGAACCTTTCGGTTCTAACTCTGTAAACTCTGAAACATACATAGCATAAATCACATAGAAATAATGCAGTGTATCACATCATATAAATAACATAAAAAATACCCTGTCACATAACTCTAATTACCACTCTAGGTAAAGTATAGTGAGAAGACTCACCTCGGGTATCTCGGATAATCTCGTACTCGAACACACTGATCTAACCCCTGCCTAAACACAAAACAACACTCTCAAATAAATAATGGCTCTCAAAGGCTAGATTAAATCCACTCTACAAATCCACAGAAGGGTAAAAGACCATTTTACCCCTCCCTGACCCTAAAAGTCTAAGGGTTGACCAAAACCCTAAAAGTCAATGGAAGTCAACACTTTTCCTTCCTCCTCAAAAGGTCTAGATCTCATGCATGGCTCAATATCCACGTCCAAGATTGCATTTTTATGAACATACAACTCCTATAGTCCTGAAATATGATAGATCTAGGCCAATGGAGACCATTTGCTCATAAAGTCTCCATCTTGGGACTAAAAACCCTAGAAATTGGTCCAAGAAGCACACCACACAAATGACAAGTCAAGATTTGAGCTTTTTACCTCAGGAAGAAGCCCCAACCTCTGAAAATCTCGGATCTACTCATGTTCACAACTCCTAGCCTCGAAAATGGCCTCTTCTTCTCTTCCACCACCTAGAAATGACACCTTGATGCTTAGAACACCAGCACACTAGTTAGAAACGAAGGAGGACTCTCTATTAGGGTTTCACTCTCTGAAATAGGGCTGAGGTCAAGGCCATAACATTCATTTTATAGTGTACAAGCCCCAAATTAGGGTTTACACCTGGGCCCGCTACACCCAGCGTAACCCTGGGTACGCCCAGCGTACCCAGGCGAGTCCGCGTACAAAATTATGCGTGCGAGTACGCGCAATGTACCCTTCACTACGCCAAGCGTACCCACAAGCCTGACAATTCATTTAAGGGCTTACTTTGACAACTTGGGAAAAGGACAAGGGTTTAAGAGACACACCTGAATTCGGGATGTTACATCGACGAGTTGATGGACCAACTCGGCTAGTTGAGTCAACCAGAAGGCTGACCTGGACCAGAAGGTTGACTTTGACCAGAGTGTTGACCTTTGACTTTGACCTTTGACCATAATTGACCCTTAAAGGGGTTACAAGTATGAAAGGGTAAATAAAGGAGATTGTTATGTGTAGGAGTTAAGAGGACTTGATCCCATAGCCGAGGACATTTCAGCTACTTCATGACATTGAGGTGAGTTACGTTCCAATAGAAGTGGGTCGAAGGCACCGATGTCGGCCCACTAGTAAGAGTATAGTAGAGATGATTGTCTTATTGATAATTATCTGGTATGCCACTATCTATTATGCTTTATGTGCTAGTATGCTATGTTATAATGTGATAGTGGTATGAAGGGGACCAATCCCTAGACCTGGTTGAGATACACCGGTAGGGTAGGTTGGCACCTATATATGCCTGACAGTATGTTATGTTATGTTTTATGTGGAAGTAGTAGGGGTGAAATAGTCCCCGTAGCCGGTTAAAATAAATCGGAGGGTAGGTCGAGCACCTAAATATGCTTTGACAAGAGGTAGGTTGGGCACCCCGATATGCCTGACAAGGGTAGGTTGAGCACCCATATATATGCTCAGCAGGGTAGGCCGGGAACCCATATATTCCTGACAATATGTTTATTGTATGCTTCGTGGTATGATGGGGAACTCACTAAGCTTTGTGCTTACGATTTTCAGTTTTTGTTTCAGATCCTTTTTCTTCGAAAGGAAAGGAGCCGGCATGATCGCAACGCATCATACCACATTTTCCGCACCAGAGATCTATGGGATTTATACTTTGATATGATTTTGTTATGACATGTTTTGACGATGGATATAGTGGTTTTATATATATATATATATATATATATATATATATATATATATATATATATATATATATATATATATATATATATATAGGTTCATGTGAGACGACCTAATTTTGTGAGACCGTGAGATGCATTTTTTTATTTTTTTAATTTTTTTTAGTTAATTCAAGTTCCGAAAATAATATTTAAAAAAAGAATTTTTGGATTTTTCCATTTATTTTGCATTTTAAAATTATTTTTTAAAATATGTCAGTGTAATATTCTATTAGAATATTTCACGTATTTTACAAAAAAAATGGAATTATTATTATTATTATTATTTTTTTTATTTTTTTTAGTTAATTCAAGTTCCAAAAATAATATTTAAAGAAAGAATTTTTAGATTTTTCCATTTATTTTGTATTTTAAAATTATTTTTTAGTATATGTCAGTGTAATATTCTATTAGAATATTTCACTTATTTTAAAAAAAAAACGGTTTTTTTTTTTAATTTTTTTAATTTTTATGTTAATTCAAGTTCCGAAAATAATATTTAAAAAAAGAATTTTTGGATTTTTCCATTTATTTTGCATTTTAATATTATTTTTAGATTTGGTCTCACGGTTTCACAAAATTAGAACGGTCTCAAATGAACCTGAACCTATATATATATATATATATATATATATATATATATATATATATATATATATATATATATATATATTACTATGAGGTTTTCAGACAAATGGTTTTATATTTGTTTAAGTTAAAAATGAAATTTTTGGTCTGTATTTTTTGGATGTTACAGAGAGGGCTTTGGATGCGGAAATTAATGAACCAACTCGGCGAGCTGAGGTGCTTCAACTCGACGAGTTGACAGCTGGGAAGGAAACCCTAATTTTTAGGGTGTTGCACCCTATTTAAAGGCCTTAAGTCCCTTAGCTGGCCTCTTTACCAGCCTCCTCAGCCCATAAACCCTAATAGTGTGCATCATCATCTTCTGTGAGCGTGTGGCCTCTGGAGGGTCTTGAGTGTTGATCTTTTGTGCTCTTTTTAAGAAGCTTTGAAGTTAGAGGTGTAAAGCTTGGAGGGAAGACTTAGATCCCGAATCTCCCTACTTGTTGCAGTCTCTTGGAGTTATCGAGTTTATACCTTGCTTTGATATCGTTTAGATCTCTTTATTTTAAGGTTTTATCTTGATTTTGGGCTCATGGGTGGATTGTCCAAGAAGTTGAGTGTTCCAGGGGTTGTTATGTTAGATCTGACCATTTTATGGCCCCTTTTGGCTTACAGTTGCAAGCTTTACTAAGTTCTAGGCCCATTCATTAAATAAGTCCCTTTTTAGCCCATCTTGAGCCCTATGGTTTCTTTTTAGCATGCGTGGATGTAAAGTTGGAAACTTTATGTGATTTTCCAGGTTTTGGATGCCAGATCTGTATTTTGGGACTATGTTTTGAGAGTTTAAGGGCTTAATGGGTCAAACCTCACTCTAATGAGTCTAGGGTTTGGGTTTGACTCATTTTGATGGTTCCTAAAGGTAAAGTTGGAAACCTTACCCTTTTAGACATCATTTCAGAGGAGATCTAAGATTTGGAGTTCCTAGATTCGAGGGAAACAACTTAATGCATTAAGCTGTTGGATTTCTGGCTGACTCGGCGAGTTCATTAGTGAACTCGGCGAGTTGATGAGAGTTCTCCCGATCTGTGCAATTAATTGAGAAACACGACGAGTTGAAGGACAAATCTGCGTGTTGGGTTAACACAGGCCGTTAACTTTGACCTTTGACTTTAGTTTTTGACTTTAGTCTTTGAGGGAGTCCATGGCAAACTTATATGTATGTGTGCTTGGTATTATGTGATTTTATGTTTGCGTGCTTTGGGAAACTCACTAAGCGCGTGCTTAAAGTTTGTTGAATGTTTCAAGTACTACTGGTTCTAAGGGCAAGGGTCTGACTTGATGGCGCGACATGCATTCTCCAATATTTTCGCATCTATTTTTTTTGATACTCTGATCATTTGAAACACTATGGTTATGTAATGAGATTATTTTGGAAACAATTGTGGTTGGTTTTGATAAGTATAAAAGTTAAAATTTTCTGTAAATTTTGGGTTGTTACATAGGGTTTTGAATGTAGGGCTAAGAGGAGAAAGGAAGCTGAGAAATGAGGGTTTCAGGGTCCGTAATGATGTTTATATAGTGTCCAACCCTGAGAATTAGGGTTTCAAAATGACCCACGTACGCCTCGCGTACATGCACGTACGCCCATCGTACGTATCCGAAGTCCCGATCCCACCTTGCATGAGTACGCTAAGCGCACCATGTGGTACGCTGGCCCGCGTACTCACTTTGTAGCTTGTACGTAAAGCATACCATGTGTTACACCCAGCATACAACACAAGGACTAAAATAGATTAATTAAATAATACAAGAGCAAAAGAGAAACTTACCAAGTGTTACACATATGTATTCGGTTAATCAAGATTAGAATCCACACCATATCTTTTAGTAATGATTCGATTATATCGGTTAATTTGGTTATGGCTTGGTTTTTCGGTTAATATGGTTACGACTTAGACACATAATCCAACAATATTAACACTTCAAAGTTCTGGTTACCAAAAACCATCACGCCCGATAATATATATCATTCATTGAAATTTCTTAGAACTAAATCGATTATTTATCAAAAAATTAAAGGACCATGTGATGTAAACAAAAATTGAACAAGGACCATGGGACTCCAGTATGATTTCATGATTTTTTTAATGACCGGATAAACACCACTGCCCGGGTGTTGACGCGGCCAGGGTGCACAATTACAAGACAAAACACCATTATCAATGTTAACAAGATAAACATTAAAACCAATGTTTAGAATACAAAAATTCCTTCGGTTGGTTCAATGATGATCAACATAGTAAAATCAGCCACCCAAATATGTCTTTATAAGAGAACCATGACATAAAAAGGAATGAAATCTAGCTCTTATTCTTCTCTTTTTCTCTTCTAGAGTTCTGGGGTAGCAAAAAGTAAAAGAATGGGGATAGTTGGAAAGGAAAATGGCGTCCTAAAACTCGTACGCCCAGGTGGTATAGTTGAACTATACAAACACCCCATAAAAGCAGCTCAAGTCATGGCAAAACACCCAAGACACTGTGTCACCAGACCTGATGTCTTCAAGTTTCCATATATCGTGGTTAAGCCTGAATCAATTCTGAAACCTGGCAGAGTCTTTTTCATTGTTCCCTACCACACCATCCATCGTTTGCTTCAGTCTAAAGGCTACCGTTTTCGCCCCCACTACCCACCTGATTATCATGAAGGTGTCGACAAACAAGCATTTGAAGGTGATCAGTCTATGGTCGAGCCAAACGTTCATAGGAGGCTCACTCGACAATCTTCAGACAAAACCCTTCGTCAGATGGAGGAGATCGATACTTCTTTTTTCCACCAGATAGTTCCTGTTGAGAATTTTCAAAACAAGAAACAAGGTAATCGTGACGTAAAAGTCATACCCAGAAGACAGGTTGCTAATATTTCTCTCGAGGAAAAGGGGGACAACTTCGTTCCCAAAGAAGAAGAGTGTGATTCTGATGAAGCTTCCATTGCTGCCTCGGGTTGTTTCCCTTCACGCAAAAAAGCAGTAGAATCTATCAGCGATAGTTCTAGTAGAAAAGCTACTGCTGCCACCTGTTTGAAGCCATGCTTAAAAAGGAACCAAAAGAATAAAGCAAAAGCCCAGAAAGGTCCGAGGGTAAGATTCACATTGCCAGATCATCAAGATGATAATGATTATGAGATCTGGGATACCGAGTTTTCTGAGTTCTAAGCGATTGTGTGTTTATTTTCGGCACACAATCTACACTATAATCCTCATGATCTGGTTTGCTTGTTAACTACCATGGAAGGGTTGAATCTTGGCTGGATATATACCCATTAGGGAAGTCGTTGAGTTGTATGTAAAGCTATATATAGATATATTCGTACACATACTGTAATAATGGAAATCTTGCATGATGAATAATGTTTGAGAAACATCTATTCCCACACCAAGGCTACATGCTTGTAAAGTAGTATTTTCCACAATATATATATTGTTCACTTTGTTCCCTATGTAATATATATACTCTAAGTGTATACGTACAAACTTTGATATTTGTAGTTCTCTCATATCTTGTAGCTGGAACTAAAAGAAGTGGAGAAAAAAAGGACTACGCCGAATGACCCTTGCAAGTATTCTTGACAAAAATAAGAATCAATGAAATTATTTATTGATTAAATAATAACAAATGATGGTCAATTAAATAACATTTTACACTTTTATAACTTCATGTTCAACCTCTGGATATGTTTCTGGAATGACCCTTGCAAGTATTCTTGATATTCATCACTGGTCACATGCTTTTGTGGAGATGTTGTTGGTTTAGATATCGTATCTTGTTGATTTTCCAATCTGAGTGCAATTGAACTTAGTTTTGTTAAAGGGCGTGTTGGCTTCTGATATTGACCTTTTTCTTGCTTCATTGATAGTCTATCTGTGCTTGAATTATGGCTTTCTAAACTTGGTTTTAGGAAGATGTTGGTAGATTGTTCTTGACTATTATCAAGCTTTTCAACAAGAAAATTACCTTCCAGGATTCTCAATACCTGTAATAACCGAAAACATGAAACACAAATATCAAAACGATAATACTCTTCAAAACTGCATTTTTTTCAACTTAATCAGTTAAATTTTGGATAGTTTTAAGACGATGTAAGTCCAGTCCGCTTTTTGTATTAATATTTGGAATCTATTTATTATGAATTCCAATATCTGATAATCTTCAATGGCACTTTCAGATTTAGTCGTAAAAATAAAAGCAACTGATAGAGAATTAATGTAAGGACTGTTGAAGATTCTTAGGAGAGTTCTGAGACTTGGTGAATTCTAAGCTTCGGAACTAAACCTTATGAAACTACGTCGTTTTATTATCTAAGGATTTTGCTGAAAAAAATACTATATAATTTCCTCACATATGGTATCCTTCCTAAAACACTACATGATTTCCTGAAACAAGTTTTTTCTAGAAGATTTTCTTCTTCTTGTTCATTGGTGCATACATAATGAATTATACTTAATTACTTGTTGTTCTTGATTGGTACCCGAATTAAATTTTAGTAAATAAGAATTAAATTTTACACATTTAATTGGATAGAAAGATTTGTAGGAACAAAAAAATAGGAACATATTTAATTTTCTCTTCTCCATATTCCTTTAGTCTGATTTTGTTTTTCCATGCCCCTTGACCTTATAATTAGGGACAACCCCTTTGACCCTACAATTCGTTGTGTTTCAGATTCAACTCCTCTTACACAAATACCTACTCCACACCGCCTATCTTGTATGAGATTCTAATTAAAATAAATGGACATGTGACACTAATTACAAAAAGTAATTTGACTCCTACACTTTTGATTTTATGATAAAATCCAATCCAATTTTGTGTTACAAATACTAGGTCCGACTTTCAAAAGTCAAAGTGCTTTAAGTTATTAAGAATTTAAAGTAAATATTTTATGGATGAATTAATATTAACCTTAGACATCCTTGGCCTTTGTTCGGGTTGAGATGATATACATAAACATGCTGCATGTATCATGTATTCTACTTCTTTTACATCATACATGTTCCCTAACTTTGGATCGATCATTTCCATGCATACCTTTCCCTCTGCAAATAAACCTCGACCCTGAAAAGTAAAAGTCACTAAATCATTTATATGATATTGACAAGAAGGTAATTTTTTCATTATTATTATTATTAATTTTTGTGTATGCATTGACAATACATGATACTAAAGATTCTTACCCATTCAGGAAAATATTGCTGCCTAGAGGTTCTTGAGAATTCTATAGCCTTAATGCCGGTTAGGATCTCTAAAAGGACGACTCCAAAGGCATATACATCAGCTTTCTCGGTAATCAAACCGGTCTGTGTATACTCGGGAGCCAAATAACTGAAAATAAAATATGGCTTAATTTATGCTTCAAATTAGGTGATAATTTAAACATGAATTAAATACTATTCTTTTATGTTAATTAGTTAAATATTTCGTTTTTATGTTTTGCGTAAAATCAATATCATGATTATTTTATCATTACAAGATTTTTTTTTCGAATTTTGTTGTAAAAGAACATGAATTTATAGTTATTTGGTAATTTGATTTAATATTCTACAATGACAATAACCGACCTGTTGTTTATTGATAAAAATATTATATGATAAAACATGAATTTAAATCATCACTTGGTCAAATTTTGCATCTTAGATCCCCAAACTCTTTCTTCTCCCATATTTGTAGCAATTGAAGAAGGAAATTGATAGACAAATGTGATTTTGGTAGAGAACTCACAAATGGAATGAGAACTAAAGCTCTACTAAAGCTTTAACACTTAATCGTTGAAGAAGAAGCTTACAATGCAACAGTTTTGTCCATCTTAGTAGATTAAGCTTCTTGGATTTTTTGAACTTATTAAAATCGAAATTATATGATGAATACATGATTAAGTCAACCTTTTGTGTTGAATTCTAAGTTGTGTGATGATTGTTATTGGTTTCAATATTCGTCTCTAGGTGTTCTATAATACTTCATGACTTAGAATAGAATATTAGAATGTTACATACTAGCTTGAGGGGGGCTTCACTACATAAGAACACATGTCCCCTAATATATTGTTTTAATTTGAATCTTTCTTGATTTAATTCTCTATGTGAATTAACTATTTAGAATTCCATATGTAATATGGGTTGCATTAATGAAATGATTTTTCAAATACTTTTAGAAATATAGACAAACATTCTTGTTTCTAATTGAGTATTTTTTATTTATTTATTTTTTTAAAATCATGAACAGTGCATACATTTTAGAATGAAAACGAGAATTTTGTGTTTAACATATGTAAAATTTCATTTTTAGGAAGTTCAGATGACTAATATCATGTTTTGAACATATGTGGATAGTTAGATGGTTCAAAGTCCTTAACAGGTGTGAAATTGATTATGTCATTTATGTCTTAATCATGAAGTTTAACTGAAATTTATGTTTGAAGAAATCCTAAAGTGAATTTCAATGAATGTTATGTATTAGGCTACATGATTAGACATAATGTTAAACATGTTACATGTTATAATATTGATTATAAGCAAAATGGTACAAAAATATATGCACAAAAAGATGAATATGATTTTTTTTAGAAAAGTAGCTTACTATAAGTTAATATGTTACTATCTGAAATGATTAGACAACCTAGAATATAAATAAGGGACATGTGGAAGAGTTCTATTACGAAAATCTATCATGAAAAAATGTCCAAACATGATACAAAGTATAGAAAAGCATGGAGAAACCTAAAGGACAATTCTAGTGGATAGTACTTGGGTTTAAGTGTAATGGTTAGACATAGTGAATGATTTCAGTAGTTTAGACATTATGCAAAATAAATCAAGAAAAAAAATGTCTCATGAAAAATATATGAAGGAAACAAGTTGGGATGTCACAACATTAGTTCGTACAAGGATAGACCACTTTGGCACTCAGACTGAGTCACAGGAAGAAGGTTGGAACTCAGGTTTAGAAGCATATTATGTATTTCAATTTGTTGATATTGTTTATTTGATGTTGCTACGACTTATTAACGTTTTTAAAACTATGTTTATCATGGGATGTTTCTATCTCCACATATTAAACATACAAACTTTTCAGTTTTTGAATTTTTTTTAAAGGTTTGCATCATGGATGAATTATATAAGTTTCTAGACACTTAATAATGTCTAACCTCCATAATACTTATTAGGTTTTACAAGCCTAACCTACTAATTTTTGACATATTTAAATTATGAGTTTTAGATGAAGACCGAAGATGTCACATGCTTTCAGAAATTTAGATGACATTTATTTTGATGTAAGAATAATTAGACACTTTAACTATTGTTGCTTCATGTTATTGTTATACCATCATACTTTTGAAAAACTATTTTAACAGGTTAATTTTGTGGACCTTATTAGAAAATTGTTTTCTTATAATGATATCTGTATCATAGGAGAGAATGGGATGTTTCTATACCCAAAAACCATGCCATTATCGAAAGTGGAAAATTTCAAAACTATGTGATTGTAACACCTTGATCGCTAAAACAAAATTTTCATTTCGTTTCTAGTATATTAATTGTGCACGCCTTTAATGAAAAGGGTTCTAAAATTCATTACCCGAATGCACCAACAACGCGTGTTTCTTCCTCTAACTCTCCATCTACTTGCCATCGAGCCAATCCAAAGTCTCCAACCTATATTTGACACATACATCATTGAATCTATAAAAAATACAGACAAAAAACAATTATTGTTAAAGTTACAAGAATTTTAAAGACTCACCATTGGCTTAAAATCATGGGTTAAGAGAATATTATTAGGCCTAAAGTCTCGATGAATTATGCACCCAACACGACAATCTTCATGAAGATATCTCAATGCTCTTGCAGCACCACATGCAACCTTCATTCTCTTCTCCCAAGTCATGACCTCACTTTCCTCTGATCCTATACAAATTAAAAATAAAGCTTTAACTAAATTAAAAAGTACAATATTTTCAATGGAAAATGATAAACTTCACATGGAAATAATTAATTTGGAAAGAGGGAGAGATGCTTACCATATAGGTGTTTGTCTAAAGATCCATTACAAGCAAACTCGTACACAAGCAACCATTCCTTCTCAATACAATAACCAATCAACATGACAAGATTCTTATGTTGCGCACAACTTAACACTTCAACCTCAGAACAAAACTCAGCTGCACCTTGTGCACTAGCAATCTTTCGTTGCTTCACAGCCACAACCTGTCCATCACTCAAAACGCCTCTGTATACCTCACCATATCCACCCTCTGCCAAGAAATTTCTTCTTGAGAATCCATCCGTTGCTCTCTCAATCTCTTCATGGCTAAACCTTCGTGGTGATCTCCCTAATACAGGAACACTATGCTTGCAAACAGAGCAAAGAGGAGGTGGTGTAGGTGGCTTTTTAAGAGAGAGAGACATGTCCCTTCGTACGCTTGAGGTTCTGTCAATTGATGGAGTATTTGCATGGCTGAATGATACCCTTCTTGTAGTAAGTTGCCTCGAGTTGTTTTGATGCCTTTCTGTTTGGCTTTGGCTTCGGTTTGTTGCATATGCTATTCCGGTTTCTACTTTCATGTCGTCTATATTTCTTGCCATATCTATAGATAGAAGAAAAAGGATAAGAGAACGAAGTAAAATTTAATTTTAAAAATAAAAACGTGACATAGCTTTTTCTTGTTTCTTGTTATAATATACTTATCTTAATATTATTTATGCTGATATTTAATTTTAGAAATGTGATGTAAGCTTAAAAAATTAAAGATGAGGGATAATTAGAAAAAAGATAATAGATTATTACAAAATATTTCACAAAGACAAAGATAAAGTAGTTAATTTAATAACTTATTTCACAAAGACAAAGGTATAGGAGTTAATTTAATAATTTATTTTTGAAAACGGTAATGATTGAAGAAAGGGAAAATGACTTACAATTTCAATTAAGTTTTAATAAATTTCAAAAAATTTCAATAATGTTTTATCTATTCAAGAAAACCCAACGAACTTATCATTTATCTAAAAAAACCCAACGAAGTTTACAATCGTTCAAAAAATCCTAATCATTTTTTGTGTTGTTCGAAATGTTAAATTCATCAAACATAATTGAAGTTTTTTGAACGGTTTTAAAATTTCGTTTGTCTTACAAGTCATTTTTCTAATATGGTGATTTCTATAGAATTGAATAAAAATATAATATAGTTGAGCTTTTTTAGACAAATTTTAAGTTTATTGGGTTTTTCTGAAAAGACAAAACATAATTGTGTTTGTGAACGGTTTGAAAATTTCATTAGACATTTACCCTTAAAGAAAGAGTATGGTAAAATGGTGATAGTTCTTTAATTTGTTAAATAAACTTAGTGGAAAACTATATGTCAAAACAAAATAGCTTTAAAAGATGTCAAATGGATGCTATCGCGAATAGTGCTGTAAACCTGTCGCTAAATGGACTTCTATTGATGAGAAATGTGTATGGATCCATCACCATATATATGAATGAGAGATCACCATTCTTAGTTAAAAATTGAATGAGAGATCACCATTCTTAGTTAAAAATTAACTGTTTTGTGTGTTGAATGAATGAGAGATCACCCATCATAACATACAAATGCAGAATATGTACACATAAACACATAAATCAATTCATCCTTAGTTAAAAATTAAGAATGAATTAAAAGATTAGGTACCTCACCATTCTTAAATTTGGAATGATTTCCATTTCCATCCGTTCTTACTTCTAGAGGACCAGATACCGATCTTCTACTGACCTTAACCTCAAACTCAGGAATCTGATTCAACTGCTGTGATTTTAGATACTGCTTTTGTCGAGGAGGTTTGGACTTTGCAACTGGAGACATAGTCTTTTCTGAAAAATATTCAATGGTAGTAGACGATGAACTTGAAAAAAATGAACTGTTTTGTGTGTTGAATGAGCTTGGAATGAGATCTGATCCAGTTACAAGATTGGTGTCGTTAACTTGCTTGTAGGCTGGAGAAGTACCAAGCATATCAGCCATAGTCGGGATCTGCTCCTGATCAATGTTCATATTCAGTGGGAAGTTCACTGATCGAAGGATCTTGTGAAAGGGACCTTCTATAAGCACGACATTGCAATTCAAATACTGCTTTAAGCAACAATCTGCTTCGTTCTTCAAGCGTCTGCCACATGAATATAAAACATATTCCAAATCATTACCTTTTCTGATTTTGATCATATAATACTTCTTCAAAATGACTCTAATCCAAGTTATTATTGATTTATATATAAGCATACATACTCATCAAGAATCACCCATTTTGCACATTGTTCTGTTGCTACCATAGCCACTGACCCCACCGGGGCATACGCTACCACTTTTACTTCGGTATGAACCTGGATTTATCATATAAAAACATTATATATTATTAGTAGAATGAGTATAACTATAGGCGTCATTTAACGAACATAGTACACATTTACCTTGACTACTTTGTGAAGGGAGAAAACGTGGTGTATCATTTGTGCACACACATTATAAATTCGTTGTGGTATATCACGTCCATCGTCTACAAATCCATCCTTATCCGACATGTCATATTTCCCACTACTCCGTTTCTTCAACATGCCTATTAATTATAACATAAATGAAGTTACAAAACATAGAAACATACACGCATCCGCTTTGAAAACTTAGTTTATTAGATAATAATAATATTACGAGAAAATAATCCTTTAGAAGAATGTCGGGGTTGAGTATTCTTGATTGGATTCGGATTGTATTCCTGAGAAGAGATGATCACAAGTAGAATCAAAGAATCCATAGGCTTGATTACATTTCGAACAGCCCATTCAAGTGCATAATCTGTGATCTCTTTACCCGCTTCAATGCTCACTAATATCACTTGACCTACCATTTTACACGTTGTACTTGTTACGCTACAAACTTTTGTCAATATATATCAGCATCTCACTGAGCAGAATGCCTTTAATTAATAACGTCCAAGATAGATTCTTCAAGAGTTTTTTTTTTTTTTTTTTTACTTTTCTGCATCTTTCTAGTCTTTATCATGTTCATTCTTTAATTAATTAACCATTAGAGTCGAGTGAAGGATACAAATGGCACAAAGGGGAAGCAAGCAGGCTGTATAAACGTGTGAAAGTTGTAGTTTTCTGTTTGTTTTCTAGCTTTTTGGAGTAATAAAATTGCAAATGAAATGTAACAAAACCGACACAAAATATTTCATGCTCTTTCTTTGACCTATTCTATACTGCAGTCCTGCATCATCAAATCAGAAAAAAGCATCTGTATTTGCTTATTAAATTCGCAACGTTATCCTGTTGGGGAATACTAAGATTAGAAAATAGTCACTACACACCGTGATGTCGGAATTTGAAATGGTCCACAAACGGCATACAGCAATACATGGACGGATGTGTCGGAAACTCGGAATGAATGCATATTCGTTGACAATGAATTGCGTGTGTCCAAAAGTTTATAGCCTTAGAAAATAATATATTTACTAAAAAAAGTCCAATTTAAGCTTGGTCAGCTCATTAATTTTCTCTATGTTTTTTCCAATCATTTTCATCTACTATAAAGATAACAGGATACATATATACATGATCAAGATTGTTCAACAATGATTACTATGTGAATCTTATAAAACAGTCGCAGTCGTTGGATGATGTAGTTCAAAACCTTAAAAATTGTGATGGGAAAATTATAATTAAATATAAGGATGATGAAATTTTAAATGGAAGGACGGTTGCTTGAGCATATCACATTAAGCAAACAATTAATTTGGGGCATGTTCAGCATAAATAATCTTTACAATTTTTATAAATGACTATAAAATAAAAAAAATTGATTTTTCTGTAATTTAATGACATCTTATAACAAACAAATAAATCCTACATATATATATATATATATATATATATATATATATATATATATATATATATATATATATATATATATATATATATATATATATATATATTTCATATCACACAACCCAATCTCAGTATCAGTACAAATATCTACAAAAAGGCGAATATCACAAGTCGATATTAGTTGGAGGTCGAATGGGTTGCTTCATGCTGCCTGCTGCCTTGCATGAATTTCAGTCAAAGTTCTTGAATAGTTTTTTTTTAGATGGGCTTCAGACTCTTCACATTCTTTATGATGTATTTCATTCATTGTTTAAGATGGGCTTTAGAAACTTCATTTTATCTTCGAATACATGCTCCAAACTCTATCCATTTCATCCTCTCCTCGTGAACTTGGTTTTCAAGTCGTATATCCACAAAAATGTCAAAACAAACATAAATAGTAAAGTATGTAGAGATAGAAATAACAATGTAGTCCGGTGCGGACTCTATGTAGAGGTTTTTTTAAGTTAGGGCTTAAGGCTCCATATTTTCCAAAATCCAAAAGTTTAGTCCAATAAGAAATCCAATCCGGCAACCACAAAATAAATAAAGCAGAAGAATAAATCAACGATCGCTGCATTCATGAAACTGAAACGACAATGCATTCTTCTACCTATTCTATTTTTTGTGACATATTCATCTCATATGTTTTTGATTTCCGAATATAGTAAAGGCTAAAGGTTCCCAAATTTTTGGTTTGCTTAGAGCCGCTAAAATGATTGAGCCGCCCACGCAATGTACTTTACTTGTTTTTACAAAAAATGATAAACAAACAAGATATATAGGCATGCAAAGTTATTAAATAATATATAATAGAAGCATACATACATTTTTCAATAGTAATAGCAAGGCAATAACCAATGACTTCCAGCCTAGCTAGGAAGAGGTACCAGGTTTAATACCCACATGGGATAGAGGTCGGGAGTTCAATCCCTGCAAAACCCAATTTGGTTGCCTCTAAAAACTTGTGCCACATGTGGGGGGATTTTCCCTAGAAAGCCCTATGGGGGCTGGGTTTGCTCTGTAAAGAAGCTCGAATCCGAGGTGCTCGTCTACAAAGGGTCGTTGGGAGTGATTTTCGATGTAAAAAAAGTTTTATTATATACCTATTACGACGACATGTCATCGATACAGGTGATCGAAAAAAATACTAACCTGTTATGTGGTATGTGCTTGCGGGATTCTGGTGGTCACCTGAAACTCAGAAAAAAAAATTGAAATCAAATACGCTACCTGTTTTTGTGAGATGTGGTGGCCGGAAGGAGAATGTGGGTCGTCGTACGTGGTCCTCCGATCACTACTTCACTGGAAAACAACCAAATCAGTGAAAAAAAAACTGTGAAATAAAAAAAATTAGAAAGCTTATCGGTTCTGGGTTGTGATAGCCGAAAGTGGGAAGTTGTCATTACCGGTAAAGAGGAGTGGTCGGAAGATGTACACCAGAATTGTTTCACTGGTGAAGAGGAAGGGAGGGGTTGGAAGCATGAGTCTTCATTGGGAGGTGGAGGAACAAAGGAAAAAGTCATTGTAAATGAAATCAATGTCTAGTGAGTTCTATTAGGCTACAACCCTATACCGATGACAAGTTGTCGGCATTGAGCTGTCACACAGATCGCTATTTTTTATCCCAACAACATGTCGTCGGGATAGCTCTCCATCAAACGATGTCGTTAGTAATTCTTGCACCAAGGAAAATAAATAAATCAAAATAAAAAAATTAGTAACCTATACTAACGACATGTCGTCGGCATAGTGCTGTCACACTGATAGCCATTTTTTTTTATCCCAACGACATATCGTCGGGATAGCTCTCCACCAAACGACATTGATAGTAGTTCTTGCACAAAGGAAAATAAATAAATCAAAATCAAAAAATCTGTAACCTATACCGACGACATGTTGTCGGCATAGTGCTGTCACATCATCCATATCATCAATGTCTTCTGGTGTAGACTATTTTTGAAGCTGCCAAGAACAACAAAAACACAAAAACTAAAAGGTGAGATGGGATTTACAAATAAATAAATAAAAGAATTAGTATCTCACAGATTTTGGCCAATGAGAGCTCTAAAGAAAGAAAAGAAAAGAAATAAAAAGACTATTGTTCTATGAATTAAGATAAGAATCTTACTTCACACATTTGATGGAGTTATGTGCTTTGTCTTCCAATAAGAACAACACAATACCAAATTGTGGTGTCATATCCAGCACATGGGTAGCCTTTTGGATCACAACCAAGCTCCATAGATGTAACACTTTTTAATTGGGGAAACACTAATGAAAAAATAAATAATTAAATATAATATTAGGTGTGAAAAACTAACAAAAATGATTTATGCACCTTGATGTTTATTTTGTTCCATGACATCAATACGTCTTGAATTATTGATTGAGCCATGGTAGACTACAGGTTTGGCATCGGGGTCTCTTAGGTTGCCTCGTGAAGTGAATATATTCTGAGTTCATAGATGACTTGGCGTGCAGAGATAGGATGGCATGTAGGAGATGTTCCGGGCCCCTTACCCTCTTGATGATGAAGTTGTGATTGTACCCCAGAAATTGAATCGCCTTCAAACTGAGGAAGCACACATGCAACACAAGCAGTTAGATATCTCCCACAAGCTGCAAAATGAGCACCCATTTCACTGCAACAACATACAATACAAACATCAACCACCACCAAGCTCCTTATTTTTTTTATTTATTTTAAAAAAATGTTACCTGCAAAGGACATCATGTGGTATTGTTAAGCGACATCGTTCATGCTTGAGAGAGGCACATGGATTGTTTGAATCATGAGACCAAATTCTTAGCTATACAGTGCAAGTCAACTCAGCAGCAGCTGTGGCAGTAAGTGATGTAGACAGTTGAGATTGTATTCGACCAATCATAGGGACAGGCTGTCCTACTCCTACTCCTTCGTTTGCTATCGACTCATTCACTGCCACTGGACCACCATTTTGATCAGAAGAGGATTGTGGCCTTCTTGAATCGAGTCTTGTGGTTGGTGTCTCCTCCATCTAATCCTTTATCATTGACAACAACAAGCTCCATATAAAATATAAGTGTAACCCCACCTGTTTATCAAAAATTAATTTCTTCAATTTATTAATATTTTTTTCCCATTAAATCAAAACACATTTTCCCTATAAAATAAATATGCTCAAAATGGAGGAGGAATCATTACATACCTGGGATAGTAGGTGGTGAACCCTGGTCTCTGTAACGACGTAAATTTTCAAACAATTTTTCATTTTTAAAATATACTTTCAATCACATCATAATCACAAAACATAATGTATTCACTCTTTTAGAAAAATTGTTTATTTTATGAAAAATTGTTTATTTTATGAAAAACTTTCTTAATTCCCCAGTTTGAGTTCAGATTCATCCGAAGATGCACCCGAATCCCTCAAACCAAGGCTCTGATATCAACTTGTAACGATGTAAATTTTCAAACAATTTTTCATTTTTAAAACATACTTTCAATCACATCATAACCACAAAACATAATGTATTCACTGTGTCATAACAAAACATGTCCCAGAATCTCAACAACATAATCTCCATAAGTGTGTACGGATCATGCTGGCGCCTTCCCGCGATCCTCGTTGGTACCTGAAACACATATCATAACAACTGTAAGCATAAATGATTAGTGAGTTCCCCAAAATACCACATACGACACATACGCCTTTCCAAGCCATAACTCTGTGAGATCTTCCGATCCAGGTGTCTCAGGGGACTTCCGTCCCGAATTCCGGTAGACCTTCCGGTCCTACCCGTATTGACCTTCCGGTCCATGTCATCTTGACCTTCCGGTCCTTATCATACATAACATACATAACACATACATATCACATAACAACATATAGCACATACATCTCATAGCATACAAGACCTACCGGTCACACATATGTACCCTTCTATGTACAGTATAGTGAGAAGACTCACCTCAATGAAGTCGGATAAACTCTTGTGCTCAACGTCCCGACTTAGCCTCCTCCTATTATTCAAATAACATCCCCGATCAATATTCTGTCATGATCTCATCTCTACAGACTGGGTAGAAGACCATTCTACCCTTTCCTGAACTCTCCTGAATCAGTCTTGACCAGAACCCTAAAGTCAACGAAAGTCAATGGTAAAACTTTAACCCGACTCGTCGAGTGTATATGGGCGACTCGGTGAGTCTATACGGGTCCTCTGACTCCTTTCAGCCTCTTATGTGGGGCAACCCGAACTCGACTCGTCAAGTCCACTTATGGACTCGGCGAGTTGCTCCCATAACAACTCTCAAATGACCTTCTGAGGTCAGATCTGCTTTACTAAACTATAGATCTGGCCTTTCAGTGCTAAAAGGTCACGTAAAGGTGCAACCTTTACGTGCATGCAACCCACTTCAAGCCATAAATGGAGAAATAACTCTAAAAATGGCAACCTAGTCTCCAATCCTCCATGAACAAGCATAAAGCAGAATGGGAAAGGTTCTCTGGACCTTTATGGGTCCAGATCTGAGGTCTAACCCAGTAAGGGACCAAATACTCAACCTTTCAAGCCTTAAAAGGTTTATAGAAAACCCTAAATCATAGATTTTAACCCAAAACAGAAGGGAAGTTCGATTTGATACCTCAATAGTGTAGATCTGAACTTGAAAACCTTGGATCCACAGCTCCCTTGACATCCTCTTGTTGGAAACCACTTTTATTTTTCTAAAACACTCAAGAATTGGTGAGTTAGCCTTCCTCAAGCACCACAAACGCTCTCTCTCTCTCTCTCTCTCTCTCTCTAGGGTTTCTTAGGGCTGAAGTGGCCACAATGGAGGCTATAAAAGCCTTTAAATAGGGCACAGGCCCTGAGAATTAGGGTTTCACTTAACATCGCGGACTCGCTGAGTCCACGCATCGACTCGCCGAGTCCTTCATTAAATCAGACCAGAAATGCACGATCCCACTCGGCGAGTCTGAGCGCCTACTTGCCGAGCTCCTCTCTAAAATTCAACATAAATACTTAAAATAAGATACATGGGAATCTGGATGTTACAATCTCCATACCCCAACTTTGAAGGTTTCTTCAACTTACGTTTCTCCCTAACACACATTCCCTATAGTCCCTGATCTCATCCTGGAATACATTATTTTTGTTCACTTCCATAATATATATAAGAATTGAATTTCACAAGAATCAAATTGGGTCATATCATATGGTTTTATACCTTTTATCACTTGACCAGTACCAAGTTTGAATTTAATTGGGTCACCCCTTTCAAAGCTGGAATCTAAAACAGTTCCATCAGTAAGTTTCCCCTACAAAACGAGAGCTTAAAAGAATGTTCAAAGATATACATACAAATACAATCATTCATTAAGTGATACAGAACACTGAGATAATAACTCAGAGAAGAGGGGGGATGGGATGGGATGGAGAAAGAAAGGAAATAGCTATGTAGATGTATCTACTAACTCACCCGGTAATGAACATTCACCTTATCACCTTTGTGTGCTTGGATTTCACAAGATGCTGGTTTGAACTGCAACAACAACAACAACAAAATGGAGGTTCAAGACAGAATGAGAAAGGTTAAAGAGTAGGTGGTCGATACAGTTCATGTTCATAGCTCTTTTTAAACTCATAATACATCAAATCAACAGCTAGGCTTGAAAGTGAAAACCAAAATCAATAAACTAACTACATTACTCTCTAGATGCATCCTCCGTGTAACCAATTATCCATACTACGTCTTTTTCTAGCAAAATCAAATGCAGTGCACATAAAAACAACCCCTAATTGGGAAAGCTAAGACATCTTCAGATCCAGATTTTCCCCAAAAGCGTATGATATTGTCGGATAGATTTGGGAGGTTGATGAATGTATGATTTGCAAGTGCTCTGAAAACAAGAACAATTCAAGAGCAGGGGATCATAGGGAGAAATTTCAAAATAGCTTTGATCGTACAATGCAAATTTGAATCACAAGCTTAAAAAAACAAATTTAGGGGAAATTTAAGAAGTGATCATTTGATATCAGCAAAGAACCCTAGCTTTGATCGTACAATGCAAATTTGAAAAATGAGTTATTGAAACGTTGGAATAACTTTTCAGTTAGCTGAGTTGGGCAACATCAAGTGCTTGTTGTCTGGATTTGATTTGGAAGTAATAGAAAAGAACCCAGTCACATTCGTTTTCCCCGCTGTTGACGACGATTTGTGAAGACAATGATGTCATCGTGTACTGTGATGTGGCTTTTTGATCTTGGACTGACATCTTGAGATGGCGGAAGTGTTTGCTTAGGCACTTCGAACTCTTAAAGAATATGAGATTCGAAGTTGGTGGTGGCGGCTTAGGGCTTGGAGAGAGAGAGAGAGAGAGAGAGAGAGAGAGAGAGAGAGAGAGAGAGAGGAAGACGAACCGCTTAAAGGATTATTAGGGCTTTTTAGTAAAGGATTTTAGAAGAAGAAGGAGATGCATCGTCGGGTTGTTTAATTTTTTGGTATTTCATTCCCCCCCCCCCCTAAGAAAACGCTCCTTCCTAAAGAAAAATATAAAGCGAGAGTTTTAGACGACACAATTTTTTATGATACGTGCCCTCTGTATTTTTAATTTTTTTGTTGGACACTATTTCTAGGGCACGCACAAATGCGTGCCCTTTATCCTTCAAATTTTGCAAAACTGACATTATTTTTTAGGGCATGCACAAATGCGCGTCCTCTATCAGTGAGTGTCATTGTTTGCGTGTCATTAAAGGGCTATTTTCTAGTAGTGTCAGTAAGGATCAAATAAGAGGCTTAAAGGTCCTGAAGTAACTTCTACTCACAAGAAACCACCTCAAAGGGACCAAAAACCATAACAATGTACCACTTAGATAGATCTACATCAAAATTTTGATACCTCCAGAAGATAGATCTAGGTGGACAAAGCTTGGATCCAAAAGCTCCAAGTCAAACAATGACTCTTCAACAAGTTCCTTCTTCCTCTTCTAGCACCAAAACACACCAAAAATAACTTTGAAGCCCTATAATCACTCAAATGAGGGCTAAGGGTCGATTTCTAGGGTTTGGAGGGATGGAGGCTGAAGGTATTAGGGTTAGGTTATGAGATAAGGAGCTTAAATAGGGTCTAAGACCCTAAAATAGGGTTCTGATCTGACTGGCGTACGCCCAACGTAATTCTGGTACGCCCAGCGTACTCTAAAAAACATTCGCGACCATCCTGGTCAATATGCCCAACGTACTCCAAGGTACGCCCAATGTATTGCCTTCTTCACTAGTACCCCCTGCATACTCTTTTTGTATGCCCCGCGTACTCGGCTAAGCCTGAAAACTATGAAACTTCCGAAGGTCATAACTTCTTCGGTATAAGCCCGATTCCGACGATCCTTATATCCACAAAAAGGTGGCGAGAAGCTCTACGCATCCATCAACTTATACTCACCTCAAAACCTTATGAACAAAAATCCAAAATTCATAAAGAGCTCGAACTACCACTTTCCCGATATACCCCTTGGCTCCAAAACACGAACCGAACACCCGAATCACTTATAATACATCACCCGCATCCAAATGGACCAAGATCCTACCTTTTCAAAAGCCCTAATCCTTACCAATCTTCGGGCCACATCCATAGACTAGAAGTCAATTCGGAACAGGGCATTACACTTCATGAGTTAGGGTTAGGTTTACCGGGTGACGGTCTTATATACCCTGAGCCCATATGAAAGTTTCCCATAATAACAGATTCGACCCCTCTTACCCTTCTTTTCTTTCAACTTATGCCCAACACGTACACTTTAGCCCCTGACCCCATAAAATCTTTCCAACTTTAATCCAAAATTTACCACTCAGTCCCTGTCTTCGAAAATCCCTTTCATAATAAGTCCTAAAAATTTCCAAACATAACCCCACTTCTAAAATCCTTCTCAAATCAACTTTGTAATTTACTAAACAGTCCCGAACTATCAAAATTCTGCACAAATTAGTGTGAGGATTATATTTATTAATTGATTTAAATACCGTATTGTGTGT